TGTTGCGAAAATTCTACATAGCATAATAGGAAAAGTGAGTTATTATCATAACTGAAAACACAATTATCTTACATACTCCTATTTTCCAAGCAACATTTACGTACAATACAACTATCTACCCTTCACTCAACAAACAACAACTCAACTAGCAATTATTGATAAGAGTGGGACCCAACCTTACTAGACGCAAAAATGTTATTATACTAGATGCACGTAAAGTAGTTATAGATCTTTATTGCTGAAACCTAAAAAATAAGTAAGTGGTGAGACTTCCGTCCCCGTGAATGGTCTTCTAACTAAAACCAGTAAAAGAAGAATATGTTGCATAATACTTTAAATAAAAGTAATTCATAAAACTAGTATAACTGATATAGAATATCACATCGTGATATATCAATCCACTGATCATAAATTAAAAACAAGTCTAATTCACCCGTTGAACTTGCAAATCCAATCATAGCAAAATATCTTAAAAAGACTAAGGATGTAAGCAAAAACATAACGGCTTCATAAATAAACATGAGGTTTGATGTGCATGTAGACATAATCATAATATGAGAAGAATTCACTGGGTGTTACTGGTCATGAGACTCGTTTCATAGAACACCACCCCCATTGACGAACACACATGACTTGTCATAAGACCCCACCGGCTGAATAAATCATGCAGTACTGCCAGAGTAACGTGACTACCCAGCGAATTATTCAGGTGAATGGCAACATTTATATAAATAACATACAGTGTAAAAATGATATCCCTATTTCCCTTTCATGTAACAAAATAATCATAGCATATAAATAAAAAAAGTCATTTCAAAAATTAAACCTTTGGTTTTTAAATAAAACATTTATTTGTAAGAAAAATATTAATTTCGTTATGTTAGAAAAATACTGAATTTAGTAGAAAGACCACTCACCTCTGCTGATACTGTGTGTGCCTAGACATAGTCTTGTTGACCTCACTGACCAGTCGGTATATTTCTCTTAAAGTGTAACAATATACGTTATCAATGACATGCCAAAATTGTGTATAAATACATGAATATACTAGTGCATATATGAAATGTATTCCTAATTAGGCTGTTTTCTACCCTTTTTATTTGGGATTAAAATTTCTATTATACACGTACTTTAAAAATTCTCAAAATATTAATATATACTCATTGTTAAGTTAGGTATACTGGGGTATGCTCATGTTCACAAAAGAAATTATAATTATTTTTTTATGAAAAATAACCCGTAGGTGGGTTGGCGAGCTTCTAGGTTGGGTTTTAGGCAAATTTTAGTGTAAATTTAGTCTTGCTTTTAATAAACTAATTTAGTCACCTTCTTAGCAAAATTAACAGGAATTAATAAAAATTTAATCTAAACTAGTAGAAATTATTCCTTGATTTTTCATCACAAAAACAGCACTTAAACTAAAATCCAAACCGATTAAATGAAACTAAAACACGAATAGATTGAAAATATATATATAAAAAACTCATTGAAAAACTTACTCAAAAATTGATTCAAATCTTTCTGTGCCTTCATTCGGTTCCCAACACTCGCCTTCTCTCGAGCTCCTTTTCTCTGCTCTCTATATTTTCTTTCTGCTCTTCTTTCTTTCTCTCTTCTTTTCCCTTTCCCTATTCTATTCCTTCTTCTCTTCTTTTCCTTCATGTAAAAGTGCTCTCCTTTCATAAAGATGGTGGACAAGTGGGGGACATACAACCCCACAAAATTATATCTTTTTTTCTTTTATTATTATTACTATTATTATATTTTATTTTAATTATATTCTTTTATTTATTATTATTATTTTTAAACTAAATTTAAGCTGCTAATAATCCCACTAAGTATGTTTATGCAAAAAAAAAAACATAGAATACATGTGAGGGCTTTGGGTTGGGATGTTACAACTAGGGCTTAGCCCAGCCTAGTTGGCCAGGCCTACCCCACTTGGGCCCTCTCTAGCCCTAGCCCAAATGGGACCCAACAGTTAAGCCCTTACCCCGAACCACTAGGCTATGTCAACCTAGACAGGTCAACCTCACACAAACCCGGATACATTTGGGTCCGTCTCTTTCACCTGGTTGCAGACCTGGTGCTTGCAATTGGGTCTACATCTAACCCGAGATGGAAAATAAGCCAAAAAGCTCAGTTTTTGAACTTACCTGAATTGATTAGCACTCCAAAATAGCCAATCCGAACTAGGGTGAACCTCAAGGGATAGTTTAATTGGAATAACATTTGATCAGAAGCTTGATTTTTCTAAGAAATTTGCCGCAGCCACAGATGACCAAGTCAGACAGAAAAATGCTTGATTCTCTCTCTAACTCACTCAACTTCCAAAATTGATAAAGGAAAATCACTCGTCAACACATTTCACACTAAAATAAGTTATCAACAGCTGGAAAAGGAGCTTAAATGATGGAAATTTGTCGTCAAAAGTTTTGTCCTCTTGTCAGGATGAAACTTTCTGTTCCTACTAGATCCAGTCCACCAACTTTGATTTCCTTCAATTTCATCACTCAAAATTTCAATGAAGTCCCTGCATCTTTCAGTTTCTTCAATTTGGTCCTTGATAGTTTCAATTGGGCTCCAAACTTTTTAGATTCTCCAATTCAGCTCCCAGACTTTTTAATTTCCGCCATTATGCCCTCTAAAATTACCATTGGACCCCCAAAAGATTAAATCTTCACAATTAGGCCCTTAATTAAATTAATTTAATTAAATTCTCTATTAAATTTGAATTGGGTCATTACATAATACTAATTATTACTACTCACTTTTTTACAACACACAAAAAATGTAGTTTTTTTTAAAAAAAATTTTGACAATGTTAGTCTAAGTTAGTAAAATTAAAATTTTTTTATTGAAATTAAAATAACAATAAGAAATTGATAATTTTATTTTTTAGTATTTTTAATAGGAGTTTTCAAAGGTTTGGTTCGGCTCAGTTCGATTTTGGACTTTTTTCAAACCGAACCAGACTTGTCAGTCCTAAAGCTACTTGAACATGTGTGGTTCTTTGCCTACAAAAAAATCGAACCAAACCAAACTGACCTAAGTCGGTTTGGTTCGGTTGACTTGATAAGTTTGGTTCAGTTTGGCAACCAAGAGAGATGATATGGGTGGGGCGACTGGGGAAGCCCAGTGCGTTGCTAATGGCACAGCTGATTCTTTTTCACTGTTGGGAGGTACTTCGAATGGTAGAAAAGTTGTTGAGGATTGTTGTCCTGTGTCCAATAAAGCAGGGGAGTTGGTTCGAAAAACAGGGGCAAACAGAGCATTGCCTGAGGTCCCTGCTACCAAGCTAGTTTGCAGTTAGTTTGGGCTTGTCGAGTCACTTGAAGAACAGCAACTCAAGGGCGCAGTTACAGCTGAGAGTAGTAAGCTGCAAGCCATACTCAGGTGCCCGTCGATGCTTTATTCTGTGAAGGGGGTGACTAGGATGAAACAGCCACTTGGCAGGAGAGTAAGGAAGTTTGACCCAGAAAGAAAGAGAGAGAGAGAGAGAGAGAGCGTGTGAAAGAGAGGCTGAAATCAGGGAGTGTTTAGTTAGGTAACTCCAGGAAGAGAGAGGAGCTCATTGAACATTACTGGTTGCCGAACTGGGTTGCACACTGTTGGCTTGCCCAAGGACTTCATCTCTCTCTCTCTCTCTCTCTCTCTCTCTCTCTCTCTGTGTGTGTGTGTAATAAGCTAGTAGCTGGCTTTTTCTTCATTTGGCGTCGCAAAAGAAAGGCCGGTGGCATCACGTAAGGATGGCCGTTAGGCTTTATTTCTCATATATATAGTATGTAATAAAACCAGTTCGGTTCAGTTTTCTTTTTTGGCAAAACCAATACCGAACCAAACCGATTGGTTCATATGTTTTTAAAACCAAATTAAACCAATTTTTTTGCTTTTAATCGGTTTTTGATCGGTTTAATTTGGTTTAGATTGGTCCAATTGGTTCGGATCGGTTTTGAACACCCCTAATTTTTAATATATAATATAAAATTTAAAAGCTTTAGAAATATAAAGCCAAATATCTTAGCATAGTTTCTAGTCAATCATATGATCATATCCAGTTATAAAACGGTTTTATTATTAAACAGGTAGAAATTAGTCAAAAGCAGTCAAAAATTATTAAAACCGATTTATTGGTTTAAGCAATTTTTTTCTTTTTACTATGAAAATGATATAGTATGATACTATTTGTTGAAAAATGTATATTTTCAATTTTTTCCTCTAATATTTAATAAATAATAATTCTTTATGATATTATTGTATATGATTCAATATTACATATTTTATTTTAAATTTTTAATTATATTATAGTATTTAGATATTTGAAAATTCACCATACTTAATGTTACACAATTTGAACGAGTAATTAAACTAATTGAACTTATCAAACCTGTAAATAATATGATTGTTATTTCTACCTCGGATCCAGTTTTTAAATTATTGATCATATCGCTGTCTCCCACCACAAGCTACACAATCAGGGCCAAAAGATAACTAACATTTCAAACATGCGCAACATAATTTTGGGGCCCCACGCAATAATTTAACTACAGCTACGTGGTCAGGTTCATGAATGGCAGTAATTATAGTAATGTTGGAATAAAAATAAACAGACTATTATTCATATTCCTTTTATTTTCCTATGGACAAAGGAAAATACCAGAAAATCTCCGACCTTTTTTGAGAAATAACTATTACAAGCTACATAATGAGAATATCAGTAGAGACTCAGGTGACGAGGAGCCCGCCTCATGCTCTTGGATCTGGCTGTACAATTCTTGACAACGAACTCCATAGCCCCGGTCTATAGCCACTTTGAAGAACAAGTGGATAAGCCATTACTTTGAGAGCATAAATGGAGACCCATGACTCGAAACCCAGAGTTTGTCATAATTTTCCTTTAGAGAAAAGAAAATTGACGAGAACTTATTCCACACATTTTAGAAAATAAGTATTCCAAGCCACATTCATTGATCGTTCGACCAAATTGGCTTCTGAGAGCGTTAGCAAGGATTCAGGTTACGAGGAGGTGGCAGAATACTCGTTGAATTGGTGGTACCATTCTTCACTATGAACGCCATGTCCATGCCCCAGCTAGAATGCCTATCCAGATGACAGTGCATGAACCACACCCCTTCCATAATACAATCAAATTTTCTATCAGTAAATATTTCTAAGATGATGTTAAGGGTGATTGAGAGATCATTTATTTGGAGTACAAATCCATTGATATATATATATATATATATATGTAAAATCCAAATTTTATTAGTGAGACTTGAATTTAAATATATGACCCAAAAAGAGTAACAAAATATGAACTGAAACGGCTGATTATATGTACTTCCAAGTGGCCTAGCAAATTAAGCAAAGAAATTAAGAAATAAATAAGTTAAAAATAGCCAAACACACCTGGGTTGTCAGCTCTGAATCTGACAGCAGCCCATCCATTTTTGGGCACCCCAATAGTGTTCACCTCCGGGGGATCAACTAAATTGTAACTTTTAGGATCTGTTTCATTGTTGAAAATGCCATAACCCGATCCGACAAAGTAAAAACTAAAGCCATGCAAATGCATAGGGTGATTTTCTGCTCCATCAAGCACATTTGTCCCCTGAAACACCATCTCCATGCTAGTATTGTATTCTACCACCCTTACCCTTGTACCTAGTGTAGGAATTAGAACATTATCAGGAAAATCACTGCCCGTAAAATTATAATAATAAGGTGGCTCATCTGGAAAATCCGTCGTGAAAACCCCTCCGATTTGCTTATAATAAGCCTGCAGTATATCCATACTAGGCGTCTGGAAGCTTATGTTGTTCAAGCTAGCGGCTAGCCTACTACCATTGGGCCCATCACAGGAGTTGTTTATGCAAGGAATTGCATTCATAGAAACGGTTATGTACATATGTGTATCTACCGTTTGTGGGACATCTATCGGGTGTTCCTCGCTTGCCAACGACCTAATCCCATCTACAAAACTCTCTGCAGCGTCAGTATCATTGTAATAAGGAAGGTCTGGGAATGAGGGTGCGGCATTATAATTTCCACTGTACTTGACAAGCGCGGTGGTGGTGCTATTGTTATACACAACTCCTTCTAAAGCCCTTGCTGCCATGTAATAGTGGTTTGGGGTTTGGTTTGCTTTTATCAGGACGTCCATGGTTTGGCCAGGAGATATCAAGATGTAATCGGTTTCTAGGGCTTGGTATAGGCCCCATCCATTCCCACAAGGGTGAAGGTGTGATTTGCCACCATGAAGAACATTTCTTCGTTCATGATTCCATTGATGACGCGGAGAAGGTAGGTTTTGCCATAATCAAATGTCAGTTGATACATATCTGCGACATTTAAACCGTGTTACATGTAAATGCTTATCCCAATTACGATGAAAATTAAAATAATTAACCCGACTAGGGTCAAGATTCTGGCTATACCTGTCTCGGAACAATTATACAGATACCCCGTTTGACCGTTGATGGTGAAAGCATCAGAGATGTTGAATTCACCTCCGTCATCTAAGGCAGTCTCCACAATCTCCATCACATCTCCCTTGAACCATGATGCTGTAGATTTAAAAATAAAAGGGAAAACATGCGCTTATTGTTAGTAATTTATTGGTATAGAATTGTAATTGTATCACTATTCCCACATACTTCTTGTTAGTAATTTATTTCCCACTTTTTTGGAGTCTTTGTTTCCATCAGAACAATAAATTAATTAGATATTTATTGGGTGTAATGCTTTTAGGTGAATTGGGAACTAACCTTTGACTGATTTTGATGGTATTTGGATAAAAAATTTTCGGAAGTACTTTTTCAAAACTACTTTTTTTTAGAATTGACTTTTTAGAGATTACTCTATATTAATTTTAAAAATAATAAAAAATCTGATTTTTTAAAAATACTTTAAAAAAGTTTTGCCGAACTCCAAAATATTCCAAAAATAGTTTTTTTAATAAAAAAGTTCTTTTTTAGTTAAAAAAATACTTAAAACAAATGAACCCCAATTTCTAAATTTGAAAATCAAGAACATTCAAGGTTGATCTTTAGTTTCGGATTCTGGCATGAGAACAATTTGAATCCCATCGGAGACTAAACTAAACGAAAACATTTAATTCACTTCGTGTATTAACTTCTATATATATATGTATATATATATATGGTGTTTTATTATTTAGATAATTTTAAAAAGTTTGTTAATCTTATTTGATGTTTTAATATCCTGTCAGTATGAAATATAACAATTTATATTTCCCTGGAGCCAGGATGCTATTTATGTACAAATAAGGGGCATATGTGGCCAATGTAGTGATTGGATAATAACGATATTGCATAAAACTGTATAACATTTTTCCTAGTTGGTCACAGCTAAAATCAATGATAACAACCCTCAAACCATATTATCTATATATTCCTAACCATTGTCAAAAAAAGTCCCAAAAAAAAAAAAGAAAAACATTAGAGAGAGAGAGAGAGAGAGAGAGAGAGAGTACCTAAGAAAATGGGGAACTGGTCATCTGGCTGGGTGAAGGGGTAGTTGGTTCCATTCTTAGGGTAGACTATGATTGCACCATGCACAGTGGCTCGAGACCAATCACTGTGAGCGTGCCACCATAGAGTTCCTTCTTCCGTTGATAATATGATGTCATATGTAAAATTTGCTCCTGGTTTTATAGGACACTGTGTCACATACTCTGGTCCATCAGACCATGGATTTCTTGGTTGCTTTACTCCATGCCTATATTTAACATTTCATCATTTTCGTAAATTCCTATCCTCTTTGTTGGCTTTATATTTTGTTACTTCAACACTATATTCGGTGGGGGAATGAAAGGGAGGGAGAAAGGAAAGATTACTAAAAAGGAAGAAAACTTGGAACCATTATTTTTAATTTCATATCATTAAATAGGGTGATTTAAAAAATTCAAAAACATAATTAAAAATAATTTTTTTTAGATTTTAAATATCTTTTTTAATGAAATTACAGTCTTTTTTTTTTTTTTTTGGGGGGGGGGGGGGGGGGAAGGGAACAAGAGCTGAATATAAAAGAGCAAGCATAACAGCAAGCTGAATAAAGAAGAGTCAGTGAAAGAACCACAACAACACACACTTTGACGAAGGCACTCCTTAATATTACAGTATCCTTCGTAATATGTTTAGAATAACACCAGTCTCTGCATAAACCAATTCACACTAGTCTAGTTAATGTAAAAGAAATTATTGAACTAGATTATATATAAAAATATACAAATATAATTTCCGAACAACTTTTTGCCTAATGCTAGACTCGTTGAAATTTGTATAGAGTGAAGGAAAGCCTTTCATTCCCCTTTCCTTTCTTTTCTATCCCCTTTTCCTTCTTTCCTATCACCCTACCAACCAATAATTTCCACAATCCACCCTTCTTTCCCTCCACTACCCCTTTGTATCTTGTCAACTTCCCTTTCAATCAAACATAATCTTAAATTTTAATAATTTTTTTTGTCATTTGGCTATTTTATCCCAAATAACTTTATTTTCATTAGTTAATTGAAACTTGAATGTAAAATCTATGACTTGCTCTGATATCATATCAAATTTGTTGTTTAATGTTCTCCAGAGAAAATCATATTAGTATATCTAAAACATTCTCCCAAGAGAATCACTAAAAGTTAATTAAAGGAACATTCAAGGTTTTTATTAATCATTTCTTTCTCCTTTTAGTTTCTCTCTTTCTGATTTTTTCTTCCGTCTTCTGGAGTTTGTGTACATATGCATCGTGTACAAAGATAGAGCGACATACCAGTGAATGGTAACATTATATGACCCTTGATTCACCACATTCACTTTGATCCTCTGACCCTTGTAAGCATACAAGGTTGGCCCGGAAACATTCCGTTCATAGTCAGGATTGACTTGGTTTCACATAACCGGGTAAAATTCTTCTCCCGCAGCTGCACAAATTAAAACAGTTAATTAAGATAATCTTGAAGCGTTTTCACAAATTAAGCACTTATATAGAACATCATAATTGATCAATGACAAAAACAATTGAGGTTTTATTAACAAAAGAAGACGGAACAATTAATGTAGTGGAGAAATACTCACCACCCAGTCGAGAACAGTGATGTTCCCTTGAGCCATGCATGAAACTATAAACGCATTGAATAAAAGAAACACTAGGAGCTCCAAATTCAAGCTTTTCTTGGAGACCCCCATGTTTTCTTCTGTTAAACTTGCTCTTGCTCAACCTGAAAGAAGCCTTTATATAAGCCTAGATTCTCTACTGGGAGGAACTGTGTTGTTACTTTTCACACGTTTTTGCATCGGGGCTTAAGTGGTGTTTACAAATACTTTTTTTTTAAAAAATAGAAATTAAAAATTAAAATAGAAGGTGGTAAAAGCATAATATAATCAGAAATATAATGTGTTTACAAAATATATTATAAAATTATTAAAAGGAGTAAAATTGATATTTGTGAGGTAACTTTGGTAGTTTACTTTAGAAGAAGAAAAATATTAGAAAAATAAAAAATTTAAAAAATTCATGGGTAATTTTTAGATTTAAGAAAAAATTAAAAAAAATTTCAAAATAGTTACTACTTAATTAGAGTAACATCTCTCATAGTTAGAAACGACCATTCTTATATTTTTAAAATTTATTTTCAATTCTACTTTTTTTAACTTAAATGAAGAGAAATAGAATGTAAAAAGAAATTTTAAAATATCTCAAAAGTGATTATGTGTTTTAAAAAGCTCAAAAAATATTATAAAAAGTCTTGCAAAAACCTGCTCAATAAGTCAAAAAATGTCTATCATATGTAATATCATTATAAGAAAGTCATTTTCAGGCACTTGAAAAAAGAATGGCCACCAGATGTAATAGCAATATAAGAAAGTCATTTTCAAGCACTTGAAAATATCAGGAGCTGTTTTTTTACAATCTCAAACATACATATTTTTATTTTTTAGACCAAATTTTAAAAGTATTATTATTTTGAACTGTACTTTAAGAGCATTAACTTCAAAAAGTGGAGTATGTGCCCTTGAGATTTAGCACAACCTCAATGTTGTATTCAGTCTTAAAAGCACTTGTTTCGCTTTTATTAAAAATATTATTTTATTTCCCTCATTTTTCGCATAAGTGCAACTATAAATACAAAAACATATATATGTGTTTGTATATGCATATGTACATATATGTATGTATACATGTACATATATATGTTTTATATATGTGTGTATTTTAGTCATTCAACTTTAAATTTTGTTAATTTTAATTCCTATATTGATTTCTTAATTTATTCTCTTATTTATATCAACTTTTAACATGCTAATATTTTTTTATATAAGTTCTTGTTTCAAAAAATAATATATGGGAGAATTTAGTTTCAAAAATATATCTTAAAAATAATTGTAACATATACCAAAAGAATAACGTCTCAATTATTTTTAAAATACCATACTTCAAAGATATGTTTTAAATCTTAAAAATATATATATTTTTAAGATTGTAAAAAAAAAAAAAAAATCTCTTGACCTTTCATGTGCCCGCTCTAATAATGCGTGATAAATTACAATCTAAGGAATGTCCCTTAATCTGGAAAAATTATGGGAAGCGACTGCCACAGTGACAAATGACTATGCAAGATGCACTAACGATTTTTACAGTTGCATTTGTTCATTGGATGACTATAACGCTTCACACCCAAGGTTTGTGCCTTAATTTCCGGCCACATTTTCTTGCAAATATATCTTGAAAGAGATTTGGCTTGTCATTAGCTCTTTTTTGACTATTGCAATAAATACGTTTTTTCTTGAATTCTTTTGCATCCTTATAGATATTTTTATTCATTTCATGTTTGAAATTAATTTATATTTGGATAGTATGGCTACAACTCTTTAAAAGTTTATTTTTATAAATTCAAATATGATTCTCTCTTATACATATAAAAGTGAGTTATTATTTATATTACACCATTAGACACGTTTATTTTTTTATTGATTTGAATATTTGAAAATTTTATCAAAAACACTCAAAAATATAAGAAACTTAGATTCTATTTTACTTAGTTTAAGTGGATATTTTAATTTTTATTAATCCTTTCGAAAGAGATAAAGTTTAGTGAGTTGAATATAATTGACAATAATAACTTTTTTTATGCATATGTGGTTCATATCTTGACAGTAAGGCCACTTAAAGGGTCAATATTAGTTGGCAAATTGCATAGTGGTCTTGAACCACTCTTTGCGCGTTCTAGTTTTGCGGCATGAATGGTGCAGTTATAGGTTTTGTTTTGATATATAATAAAAATATTTTAACCGTACTAACTTTCAGAAACTCAATGATTTACAAAATAATTGGAGCATGTTTAAGAGACTACTATTTTTAAAAAATATTAAATTTTAGAGATAATAAAAAATTGTTAAAAATACAAAAGATTAGAAGTATCAAAAAAATTCTATTGAAAAGCACGAGTAAATTAATAAATTGATATTTTGTAAAATAGTTGTAATAATTATTTATATTTTTTTTATTCGAATGTCTAAATTGTTAATTTATTTAAAAATTACTAAATATGTCATTGATTTGCACAAGAGTAAATTAGGGTTATAAACATAAATTTTAACTATTTACTTACCCCGTTAGATTTAGGAGGTAGGAGTTCGAGTACTTAATATTTTTATCTATTTTGTTGACTAAAATTTAAAAAAATAGTAAAAAAGTGAAAATTATAAACAAACAAAATTACTTATATTGTAACTAAAAAATAAATACCGTTAAAGATAAACTATCACAAATAAGCACTTATACACCACACAAGAATCCTAGTGCAGGACTCCAACTCCAAAACAACCCTAAGGGCTAAGCAACCCTTCACACAAACTCTGCATGGAGATAGGTTTAACACAATTCCGATCACTAATTTTTTTTAATAAGGGATTTTTATACTAATTTGATGTGAGATTATTTTTTTTTTGAGATAAAAATATAAAAAATTAAAATTTTTCTTAACAAATATACTTTTGAAAGACCAAACTCATAAATTTACTCTCATCAATAAATTTCATGATCATATTAACTAATAATTATTACTGATTACTTATTTTTCTCGATAGATGGTAAAATACCGCAACTTTCAGAACCTCAACCAACTACAAAAACTTTGTAGCCAATAAGCCCAGCCAAAAATCTAAAAGTCAAAAGCGGCAAAATTACCCAGGAGACGTGGATACGTGTGTACGATGAGGATCGTTTTCAACGCGTTAGCAGCCGGTTTCAAATCGCCATTTCCAAAGTGATTACTCGTTTGTTCTGTTTTACTGCCCAACTGATTGCAAGTTGTTCCTGGCATTGGAGAACTCTCATGAACAGATGGACGCGCTCTAGTCCTTTAAAGTCCTACACGGGCCTATCTTTATTTTTTTATAATTTAATTTCAAGAAAAATATGAAGAAACGTTTCGAGATATTTATAATTTAGGTGATGTTTGTAAATAATTTTTTTAAATTAGAAATTAAAATTTAAAAATACAAGTGAGTAAAAGTGAATTTAAAAATAAAAATTAGACCCAATTAAAAATATTAAAAAGTGGGAAAAGTAGTAAAAATGTGTTTAAAAAAGCAATTTGTGTAATTTTGTATCTCAATTTGAAAAATCTGAAAAAAATAATTTTGGTTTTTTATTTCATGGAAAAGACGTGGGATAATTTTTGAATTAAAAAAAGATTAAAGACAAAAGATTCAAAAAATAACTTTTAGGCAACGTATGGTAGGATGAAATTAATTTTGATAGAATAAGAATCAGAGTGGGAATGGAAAGAGAATGGAATGGGATCAAGATTTTTATGAGTATATTGGAACACATTGATGGAATAAAAATTCCTATGCCATCATTATATTTAGTATGTTAGAATAGAGATAGAAAAGTAAATAAAAAATATTTAAGGATAAAAATGCCCTTTGTTATAAGGATTTAAAAATGAGAAAATTAATTTTTAATATATTCTGAACATATTAAAAAAATAAAAAAATTAATTTTTTATCTAATATTAAAAATATTAAATCATATATATGTGTGTTTGTATGTATATATATAAAGTTATATATCTGTAATAATAAATATTAAAAATTATTAATATATAATATAATATATCATATTATACAATTTATTATATTATACTAATATATATCTATATAACATATAATATATTAATATATAATATTATAGATACTTATAATTTTTTATATTTATGTGATATTTTTATCATTTATTTAAAAAATTAGAGGATATTATGATAATTGTACAATTAAATAAGAATTTCATTACGAAATGGAATCTAAATTCCATCACTATAGCGATGGAATCCAGATTCATACATTTGCTAGAATCATTACAAAGTAATTGCCAAACCCATATTTTTAAAATTATCATTTTATTTCCTATTCCTTTCGGAAGATTCTATTATATTATATGTCACCTTAATTAATTGTAATAATATCACTTATAGTAAAAATATCTCATACTTTTAGATTCAGTTTTTAATTCTACTATTATATGTTTAAATGAAGAAAAAACAAAAACTACAACGAATTCTGAGCACTTCAAAAATACTTCTTTATATCAGAAATCACAAAATTACTTTTGAAAATCTATTACAAGCATTTTCTTAAAACCCTTATTTGAAAGTAACATGCACAAGTTAAATATTTTTAAGAGCAACGATGAACTAACACCAGTATTAGTATGTCCAAAAACCATTTCAAAATATTTTTTAATATTTTCTTTTTATTAAAAAAAGAGAGAAGAATGGCCTCAATCATTGAGAAAAGATTAGCCTTAATTAACACCATGCGAAACAGGTGTTTTTAAATCTTTGCCCCTTCTTTAACGAATCGGTTTTCGTGCAGTACTATGTTGCTAAACTACCAAAGTACACGATGGCCCTCTAATTTGTCCTATCGTTATTCCGCAAATCAAATATCCTAAACATATAATTAATTTTTCAAAACCCTCTCAATCTCCTCTATTTTCAAACCACTTACAATCTTTATTTAATTCAAGTTTTTCCAAACACGAAATGTCTAATTAAACCCAATATTAAAACTTGGTTTTAAAAAAGCTAACTAGCCGAAATTTTAAAACTTTTATTTTATTAGTGTAAGAGTATATTTCTCTTCTTCAAATTTATTTAAATGACACTCAATCTTATTCTCATTTGAAAGTACACTCTCCCTTTTTTAACTAATC